GACGTTAATAGCCAGTTTTAGCATAGCGTTGCAGGATACCGTGGGCACTGCAACGCTCCTGGCATGGGCTGAAAAATATGTTTCAAACGGCGCAGCGTGAACGCGATCATGAGCACTACTCGGGCCGGAATTTTTAGGCCCGGCCTGACATGGCCCGCGGGCCCGGCCCGAGCCCGACAGAATGTTTTATATTTAGGCCCGGCCCGACCCAGCCCGGTAGAGACATGGCCTGGGCCAGGCCCGAGGCCGATGACAATTTAAAATATGAGCCCGAGCCCGGCCCGAGCCGGAAAACTGGGACCAAGTTTTGTTTACACCATAAATATGTCGACTTAGAAATATCCACACACTGTAACCATTGGGTGTGCAGCACATGGACTGAACCTGCTCCTCAACGATATCATGAACCTGAAAGTTTTGGAAGAAATGTATGAGACGTCCAGGAAAATAATCAAATATGTGAAACATTCTCACGTAGTTGCTGCTGCGCTCCAACAAAAGCAGGACTCAAGATACGGCAAAGGAAATTTTACAACGCTTAAATTGGCTAGCAAGACAAGAATGGGCGGTGTCACCTCTTCGTTGCATAGCCTTCTCAACAACAAGGAAGCACTGCAAGCGACTGTAATCATGAAAGATATCGGGGGTGACCAAACCGATACGCTAGGCCATCTTGGATGAGGATGTGTTTTGGAAAGACCTTCGCAGCTGCTTAGACTGTAATAACTTTGAACTTAGCTTTTCTTTTTTATTCTATGAACTTAGAAGGTGAATGGGAAAACTTTTTGTTATCAACAACGGCCCGAAAACGTTTTTGTTCCGAAAATATACGTGCTAACCGGCCCGAGTCCGGCCCGCGGGCCGGGCCGGGCCGGGCTCGGGCTTTCGCGCTAGCCCGAGCCCGTGCAGTGCTCTAAACACGATCCTAAAACTTCATATAAATAGCCATAGAGCAGTTTGAGCACGTGTTGCAATACACTAAAACCGCGACGGTGAGCAGCGAGTTGTGAGCCTGTGACACGGAGACATTCACATAGTGTGAACGCTCTTCCGGAGCTTGACGGTCACCGTGCGCGGCTCACTTTTTAGAACACTAATGGCCAGGCAAAGCGGAAACACGTGATCTTCTTCATCGCCCTCAAACATATTTTGCCACAAACAGTGGCGTAGCCGGTGCCCAAAACGCGCTCGCCCTCCACAAAGCTTCGCAAGTTCAGGTTTCCGCAACTTTTAAATATCAACATGTTCGTTTTCCGAATGCACGTCAATATCTCCGTCACCTGTAATATGCTCCTGCTTTGACCGCTTGGCATTTGTAAATAAACACGTTCTTTTTAGCGTACTGACCAGTGTCAGCGAACAGGCACACGGAAAATCCTGGAGAATCTATCCCCGTCTCTATACCGCCCCGCCATCTATAGGGCGTTGGAGTTGCGAATACCTACCTCCCCTTGGTGCGACTCTTTTCATTGGAGGCTCATAGGACGCGTTGGACTTGTTGAAAGTATCCATGCGCACAGCTGGCATTGAACCGGCCGTGTGGTTAAAATTGTCTGTAGTTACAATTTTTGCTGTTGCTTTTTTATATTTGTATTTTCGAGTGTGCCCTAGCGCCCTTCTAATGCTATCGCGTTGGAACTGGGTTTGATTAATAAAGTGGCGGGCTCACACTGTCAAGTTTCGGCAATGTGAGGTAATTACTATGAAATCTTCCTCTTTCTTTTCGCATGACTGCGAAATGTTTTGCTTTTAACGAGATAAATCGGCGAAATGACGGCGTGTATACATGTATAGCGTTCAGGGACTATTCAGAGTTGACTACTATTCTAGTTACACGGGCACCCTTGACCGCAGATAAGAGTACCTAAGACCAGACTTAACAGCGGTTAAAGGGACCATGAAGGCAATTTAATTTTTTTTTTTCAAAAAAGGTGTTTCCGCAAGCATTGGGGTCTTGGCATGTCACACAATTTTTCCTAGAAGGATGTGACTCTTATTTCTGTACCTGCAAATAAATTTGCGAAACCGAAACAAACATTCAGATTTCTTCCCTTTTTCGCCTCTGGAAAGAGAAGTGACGTCAGGGAGCACTGTCGGCATCGGTAGGATTTAGTGCACACTCAGTGTGGTTCCCGTGGTTCGCTCTAGTGCACGGAGGTCTGTGAAGAAAAGCTGAAAGAAATGGACGACAACGCCGCGCTCGCAAACGAGTTTGATCTCCCGTTCAGCGACCTCACGCCGAGTGAACGGGAGATGCTGCTAAGGACGCAGAACTCTGGATTGGCGACCGATGCAGCAATGCTGCGCATTGCTGCGTCGGTCGGCAGTTTACGCAAACTAACGTCGCCCGATCGACCGCACGTCTTTAGCCAACCTTTCGCGCAACCTACTGTTGCACATAAACGCGGCATGATTGGTGAGACACCAGTTCGCAAAGCGAACACGAGACGACGCACGAAACCAAAGCCAAAAGTCCGCCGCCCCCGGCGCTCGAACCTCTTTTTCTTTTTTTTTTGTCCATGGTCGCTCGATGCTTGTTACGCGCTCGAGTTAGCAGTGCGGGATGCGTTCAACCAGTGACAAACGGAGGGATCGCTTCAGATTACGCTTTTATACACGGTATGAAACCTATTAATTCCCAACTACAACTTCAAAATATTATCCAACGTTCAAATAAACTTTTTTCATCACATCTCACCACCGAAATCGAAACCAAGAGCGCGCCTATCATTGGAACCAATCGCCAAACGAGGAGCCCGTTGTCGTCACGCATCGGCGCACTTTAGTTCACCTTTCTGCCGCCGCCTCGGTGGGGTCTCAGGCATCGTTCCCCGCGCTATTATTACCGCGCCTGTTTGCTCGATTGGTGCGGCACCCAAACTTCTGTTCGGGCTACAACTTGGTCAACAGTACCTGAGACGTGACTGACATCCATTTCAATCGTCGAATAAAACTTCGAAACTGCCTTCATGGTCCCTTTAAGGATGCCCAACGGGCATCCTAAACCATGACCAAAAAGAGCGCGAAACACAAGGACACAGAGGAGAGAAATACGCGCAGGACAAGGCGCTGTGTCCTTGTGTTTTGAGCTGTTTTTCATCATGAACGCATAACAACTAGCCCAACTGTCCATTCTAGTATCCTAAACCACCCTAGTTTTCCGGGTACCCAATCACAGTTAAGTCTGACCTCAGCTACACTTGACTGCGTCCTAAATTTGACTGCGTATTTTTTATTATTTTTTTATTATTATATTTAACTCAAACGACGGTACTTACGAACCTGTCTCATTGTCTGTATTGTACACTTGACTTCCTATGTTGTGACTCAATTTTACATTTCGTATTTTAAATGACTTTTAAACTAATCTTCGAATGAGCTTATTTTATATTCTATTTAAATGCGCCTATATCAAAATACTAAAAAGTGAAACCCTACAGCTATGTGCCGTCACGTTACTTATTTGTCGAAATAAATTTATAGTGATAACTCTAATTAATGAAGGCAAACGCCAGCAAAATCGCGCTTCACATAAAAACTTTTTTTTTCTTTTTTTTTTCTACAAGGTGCAGAGGCTATGTATGCAAAGGTGACGACTTGAAAGGTCCATAAGCATCTTCGTTTAAGTTCGAATAGCTAAAAACAAAAAGCCTTTTCCTCAGTGTCTTTGACAGGAGCGCCGAGGCCCTTAGGTCACCAGGGCCGTCCGATACACCCTAGAAGACAAAGCCTGCGCATGGCGTTAGAGGATCCCAGCAGAAAATTTAAGATGGCCGCCGCCGAGCCCTAGTGAAGAGAAGTGGTCAGAAAACGCAGAATCGCGCGTCAAGCCATCTTTGACGCACTGGGCGGCAGGAAAGTGGTTGACCGAATGCCGGGGGCGCTCCTGGTCAAGTCTTGGCCGCCGATGAATGCAGGTGGGCGCGTCCGAGTGAAGGCCTGGTTCAACAGCCTCGCCAAGAGGGCCGCTGACCCTCTTTGCGGGAGGGAGGTGGCCACGCGAGTGGCGTGTGGGGTGGGTCAGCTAGGGCCTTCCTCGACAAGGCCGCGGGACAGCGTGACCGCGAGCACGGGAAAGTGTTTCGGCGAGACGGAGATATAGGCTATAGTCGGTGTCGGGCACGGTAGTCTAAAAAGCACTTGGAAGCAAAGTACAAAGTTAATGAGAGGTTACGTAAGTCAAGTAAAATAGAAGTACCCTGGGCGTAATGCACTTGAAGTAAGGTACAAAGTAAATGAGAGGTTATGTACTTCAAGTAAAGTAGCAAGTACAGCGGGCGTAATGCAGTTGAAGTAAAGTACAAAGTAAATGAGAGGTTACGTACTTCAAGTAAAGTAGCAAGCACACCGGGCGTAATGCACTTTCAGTAAAGTGTTATTAATACGATGTACTTTCCAAGTAAAGTACAATTACTTTGACACAATATTTTATTATGTCCTTTCATTTCCCTGTACGGTATTTTTCTTTTAGCTTCGCACTGCCCCAGAGGTGATCTGGGACGGATCAGTTATTTTCCAAAAAGGCGGCGAATATTGGATAAAGTCAAGTGGCCACAGAGTAGTTGGATTACTCTAGTTGACGAACTGTTTATCACAATCAACTTATCTTTTATTTGATATATAACTTATGCCATTAACTTGTATGTAACAAAAGTTATAATCATCCACACTAGGTAAATTATCGTAAAAAAAGTCTGGTACAGAATTTTCTTTTTTACAAGAATAGACGGAATTAGTAATACATTGTTATGAACATTTGGCGCCCTTACTCAAGTCTAAAAAAATGCATAAAAATTGTATTTCTCTTGCGCAATGTATCTGAGCCTGGCGAAGCTCCCAAATAAATAAGCGACTTGTGGCGATAGCCTAAATCGCAAAATCCGACTTTGGTCCTTTCGAAGTCAAAATCTCGCGAACTAAAAATAGAATGTATGGTTGAGCGTGTTGGTTTCTAATTTAGGATAAGAAAAGACGGACATTGAAGACAAACAGACAAGACAGGCCTGTCTTGTCTGTTTGTCTTCAATGTCCCTCTTTCCTTATCGTAAATTAAAAAATAGAAGGCAACGTACGTTTTCAGTTTCGTCCTACCGAAGAATTTGCCCAGCATATATATATCTATAAATACATTTTTTTTTTCAAAATCTTTCGATACATGTTTCTCTTTTCCTGCACGACTTGAAATTAAATCACCCGTGACATGTCACTAATGTAGACAAATTTACCGCGCACATAACCACGATGTCTCTCCGGGAACCTGCTACAAACTTTAATCGTAAAAGTCGCCATAACATTAAAAGACGCAAGCACGATAGTAGCAAATGGGACGAGCAAGCGAATAAAAAAGGACCGCCTTGGAGACTGGCTGAGAGAGCGGCAACCTAGTGAACTCATGCGTGGCGGCATTCCTAGAGCTCCGAACATGCCCCGAGGTACTTATAAGAAGGTCGTTACCGCAACGTCCTCAAAAACAAATAAAAAAAAAAAAGTCGTAGCCAATTTTGTTGTGGATGCTTAGACATGAAGACGTCTGCTTAAAATGACGTCTGGCATACCCCTCTGGATGGGCAATATGGCCAGTGCGGTACGACTGCTAGGTTGGCGTCTTAATGTCAGCTTAGCACGTGATCATTGTTGCGCAATCGTAACGGTGTGCGATCGTGCACACCAGTGGTTCTCAACCATTGATGTTTCGCGGACCCCTTGTGGATCGGCGCAGTTGATGGAGGACGCGGTTCGTGACGGGGAGAAGGAAAATGTATAGGTTAATTATCATAATGATTTAATATTTGAATATAACTAAGGGCTAGTGTGAAATAGACTTCTCTTATTGACATACACGGGAGATACCCAGCCCGAAACTCGGAACGTTTGTTCTCAATCTGAAAAAAGGCAACTTTTATTGCTAGGCTTGACTGATGATGCAGGGCTTTGAGGACCCTTTAAGTGCCTTCACGGATCCCAAAGGGGCCGCGGAACTCCCTTTGAGAACCACTGGTGTACACGATCACACGCCGGTACGATGCTTATCGACCTTGTGAAAGAGCAGTGCAGTTTCTTTTTACGATCATGATAAAACAAAACAACGGGTTTGTAACTATGCAGATGTGCTTGTCTCAAGGCCGATAAATCGACGTCTTTGTTCAGATGTTCTAATTAAAAACAAACCTGCCTCTAGATTATATGGCTAGCCACATTAACTAGGCAGCAAAAAAGTACCTAAAGCACTAAGGCACTTTCTCATTAACAAACAAGAGCGCACGTTCGGTCTTCAAACAAGCTTTCTCACGAGCACAAATGAATATCATGATGCCGGAGAAGTCATCACCACCAAGACCCGCTGCTGCCATTGGACATCCTTGCCGTGGCCACCCTAGGTGAGTAGACCGCCTTGGTCGAGGACGCCGAAGTCCTGCTCGGAGAGGTGGTCTGGAGGGAGATGACAATGGGGATGACAGCGCCAGCACTGCCCATACTCTTGGTAGCTAGGGAGTAGGCCCTGGCTCTGATGCCGGACTGCCAGGGGACCGCCTGCTGCTGCTGCTGCTGCTGTTGCTGTTGCTGGGATGGCCAGGACACCAGTTGAACCCCACCGGGATGTGCCCATTGAGAGGACTGCGGGGAGTTCTGGGAGTGCTGGGCCGCGCTCACAGATTTCACAATCGGGATGGGCACGTAGATGAGCTTCACCTGTGTCCGGGGCATGGGCGCTTCGGCGGCCTGCATCTGCTGCTGCTGTGGTGCCTGGGACTGCTGTTGCTGCTGCTGCTGCCAGGGCGCATTGCCGGAGTTTAGGCTCTGCCAAGGGATGGATTGTTGTTGTTGCACTTGCTGGTGGTGTTGTTGGACATGATTCTGCTGATGCTGGTTTTGCTGCCAGGAGCCAAAACCGTGTCCATTCCAAGACTGGAGCGAACTTTCGATAGGGGAACCCTGTTGCTGCTGCTGATGCTGTTGTTGTTGTTGAGACTGCTGCTGCTGCTGCTGTTGATTATGCTGCTGCTGCTGCCAGTTATACATGGCGACGCTGTTGGTATGCCAGGGTGTCGCCGACGGCTGCCAGGAGCCCGGTCCAATGCTCTGCAAGCTCACTGTCTCACCTCCGTTGGCTTGCACCGTCCAGGGGCCCAAAGATGATGATCCTCGACCACCAGACCCCTGCGCCTAATTTTTCAAGAGATGGAAGTCTCCGTACATGTGGCCACCATCTAATCAAGTTTCATAACCGTATGTTGAACGAACGAGTCAAAATTACATGGCTCTCACCCGAGATGGACGTCCCGCGGGTTAATTTGCATCATAGCACCGCGGTAAATTGCTCAGCATACCGCTGAAATGGAATTTTCTAATAGAGTTCGTTTAGAAATTTACTTTTAAAGTTGCCTCACTCTACTGCTACGAACGTTATCAGTCTAGTGGCAACCTAGTAAAGAATAAAATTAACATAATACGTGTCCAATGCTCGTCGTGCAAACGTGTGAGCTAGTTCGCTTCATGCCAGAGGTTTCAATAGGTTCCGACTTGTTTAGTAAGAATACCATACACCCAGATCAGGATTCGAGCACATCTTGCCGCCGACGTACAAAGAATGTCAAGATGTTCAGCGAACTTTCTCGGGTGGTTCAGATATGAAGAGTGCGCGCACGTAACTTTCGTCTTCTGCTCAAGGTTCGCGAACATACAGTCACACATGCATTATTGATTGTATATTATCTCAGCAATAATACCTCCATATCGATTTACCTTGTTTCAAAACTGAAACATAGACTGAACGTTTTTTAAGAACGTATAATATTTATGTAAGCACGCCGGCAAAGCGTCACCTGTTGGTGGAGAACCATGTGTTGCTGTTGCTGCTGTTGTTGCTGTTGCTGCAACTGCTGCTGCTGATGTTGCTCCTGCCAGGGCTGTGACCAGGGCAAGGTGGTAGTCAGCTGTTGCGGACCCGAATGCGCCACGGAGACGAGGTTGGTGCTCGCGAACGGAGTTCCCTCCACCCAGTCCATGGCGTGGCCCACGCGACATCCGCACGCCAGCAGCAGCAGCAGCGCTGTCCTTCTGAGCCGAGCTGCAGGGCCAAGGAGCGGCATCTCGACGAACGTGCGAGCGCCGCCTGCTGGAAGAACTGAGGTGAGGACGCACCTCCGACACGTAGCACTTTAACAATTTACAAATGAAGTCGGTGGTAACACTTTAATACGCCTGATATCTGGGCTAGTTGGTATTTACTTACTCTATACGCTGAGGTAAAGTAGAGCAAAACACAAATTTATATGAAGAAAAACGGGACAGGACAGAGCAACGTATGTCCTGTTCCGTCCCTCCTCCTATCTTTGTGTTGGCGCTATACTATTACCTCGATGTGGTGATAACACGTTGCCATTTGCTGTCGTTACAAAAAAAAAAATCATCAAAAATAGAAACACTACAGCCTATTGCAGGTTAAGAATAGTATGGCAAGCTACTCTCATAAGGCATTCGATTCCCGCTTCAGCAAAGAGAATGGTGGAGAGGAGGCGAGTGGAGAAAAAGACAGCCAATCATGGTGAGGGCTTTGTGGTAAGGGCTCCTTGTCAGCTGCTAATATAAACCAGCAGCAGATTATATCTATATAAAATGAGGTCAGGTTGAACAATGCGATAGCGATGTCATCCATCAGAACGTAATTGGAAATGAAATCTGTAAGTATACCACATCTGAGGGATGCAGTTATTTCGTATGGAAATACTCTCCAGATCATCGTTCGTCTATTTTTTTTCTCTCCCTCTAGCGAGGCGTCATCAAGTTCGCGCCGTCAGAAGGGAACATGGCGAGCAGAAGGCGCAATGCGTGATGGAAACACGATTAGTGTTCCAAACACACACTCTCAAAAAAAAAAAAGGTGCATTTTTTAATTTTTTGTTTCATATAAGACATCCCAAAACTTCAGTTCGACTACATCGCACTGAAATCGATCTGATGGTACCAACTTTCACGTGAGTCTTGATAGCCGTACTTAATAAAATAGCTCATATACGTGTTACTGACTACAAAAAAAAAAAGAAAAAAAAATATATATATATGTTTTTCTGGCTCTACTGCAAAAACTCAGTGTTTTCTTTATGCTGTCTTTGATACGTACTTTAGCTATTTAAAAAGTTATATCACACCGTTATCAAGCCCCTCGTAAAATTTGGGGCCGTCTGTTTGACTATAGGGCCCTGTACGGTCGAAATGAAGTTTTGGGGTGCATTGTATAGGGCAAAAGGGTGTAAGGTGATACCCTTTTCTTTTTAGAGTGCATATCCGAGGCCTATTGCTGAGGCCGATCGACCTCGGCGATCGGCAATCGCCCCCGATACAAGGGAGTTTCAGTAGCAAGGAGCGAAAGTATGCAGGCGAACTGGTTAGGAAACATCATAATCTAAACCCTGAGACAAGGAGAAATAAAATAATAATAAAACTTAACTCTAACGACGACAGCGAACACCGGGGAATGCGCACCGCGGCGAAGCCGGTGCGGTGCGACGGAGCAAATGAAATGCTTTCGGAATTCGTGGGCGAATCTCTTCAATGGTCACAGGATCATGGCATCCCTCACAACTTCTTGATTGAGCATAGTTTTAATACAGAATAGCGTTCGTACGGAAGCTAGCTGATATTTTGCGAGCGCCTGCTGCGTGTGTCGCGTGGCACTAGGATTGGCCAGCTGCCAACAGTTTTTCGGGAATAGCGAGAAAAGTTTGAAACGAGAACACTGCAGCAGAGAAGTTGAGGCGACGCCGCGAGCGCCAGGTGCCAAACACGATCGGAAACAAACGCGAAGCGAAAACAGAACGGTACACGAGAGGGCGACCAGGCGACTCTTTGAAGACACGGCGGCGCGTGCGAGGGAGGCCAAAACTGAACGCCAGTGTGCGTTGCATTCCTCACAAAATGTAATTCTGCATACGACGATTTTATTAATAAACCAAAATACAACTGCATTTTTTTTTTAATTTACGTTTTAAGTTTTTTGCAAACTTCATTGCTTTTGCCGGACCCGGTGTATTTGGTGCGTCGTGTTTTCCCTATGCGCCGTTTACGTGTAATGCAGACACGATGCACTAGCTTTCACGCCTGCTCTTGAATATGGTACTCCTACCACACACCTTGAGTTTCTCCTCTAGATTAATAATTTTTAACAAATCAGTTATCATTCACTTTCGGATAAATGTTTTAGTTACCTCGACCGACAAACAAGACCGAATTTCTGCCGCCGCACATCGCCACTTCTTTGCAGCGCCATCGGACCAACACCGGCGAATCCTTCGCGGCCCAGTGAGTATGCGCTGAACGATTGCGCGTAATCCGACTTGCCTTTGATCAAAATCACTTGCACACCGGTGCCACCGGCGACAAGCTCAATGAAATGAGAATTTAAGCGGTGAACACACTGGATAGCTACAGTGTCTTTTGCTGCGCCTGATGACAACGTACATGTGTGGACACTTATCTGTCTCAAACACGATTCGATCTTTCGTCATTGACACGCATCGCAAGAGGAAAAAGGCTCCGTGAGCGCATCGCCCGAAAGATGTCGCGCACGAAAAGCTTACTCAGAAGGAAGGCCGGACATATGCTGCTCACTTCAACGCTTCATCCATTCATACACATCACGGACTATAGGACGACAAGCGCCACTACGCAAACACCAAACATAGGCAAAAAAAAGAAAAAGAAAAGTCTTTAAATTGGATGCTAGAAAGGTCACGTCAAGCACTGATGATTGGCCCCTGAAGTTCAGCAACAAGTAGCACATTCACGAACTAACTGTATCTTAGATATGGTGTCCTAACTCTACCCGAGTTCGCCAGCGCACGGCTTGGCTTTTGGATCAGATTGTCAAGTTGATAAGAACAATCCATCGAAGAGAGCATGTGCGAAACGCCGCTCTTTTGATCGGCTGAATGTCAGTGACATCGTCAAAGTTTTGTATCCCAATAACGTTCATCGAGTCAGGGGGCACCCAACTGGCTCGGGGTATGGACGAACTCTGCTCAAAGGGATACGGTTGTCGAAGGGCGAGCCCACCTGGAGGACTGCCCGCGGAGACTTCGATGGCCTTGAAAACATCGCGCTGCACACTCACAGACTGTGAGGTCGGAGCAGCGCGATGTTCAGAGTCAGATCGCAATCCTTCCTTGCTGTCGAACGATGCACATGGCACCCATTTGCGCACTGCCATCGCTCCGTTGGACAGGTGAGCATTAGTTTATGGACCACAGCGTTAAATGGCCCGGGTTAGCCGTTGTGGTTTACTACTCAATTAGGACCCACAGCGGGAATGTCAGGCTTTCTTTCAAGGCAGGTTGACTTCTAAACATCATTGCGACAAGCCCGTTTTTCGGGGTTCATAGTCGAGGGCCTCGTAGGGACTAAGAATGCCACAAAGATGGAACCCTTTGTCTTGGCGCGTCTGAGAGCAACGAGGTAGCCTTCTTCTTCGCTGCTTTGTTTCATGAACAGAACCTTGGTAAGTGTAAATAACAGGTGGTATCCCATCAATAAAAAGAAGCCTGTTTTATACCTCAAGTACTCTAATCTTGCTCAGAAAAAGAAAATCAAGAAAAAAAAAAGCGACGCGTTTTTACAAGAGCCAACGACCAGAAATAAGATTCAAAACAAAACGCTTTCAAATAATGCCGTTTCTACGCCCACAGCGCGTCCACTGACACTTTTTGTTTTCAATCTGGAATAACCGAAACAAACAAAAAAAGAAGGAACCACGCGGTTCATCCAAAGCTATTCGCACGGAATCCGGGGCTCCAGAACGTGATCCAGCGACTCGCCGCTAGCCAGGAATACGATCCCCTGTCAGGCGCGCGAACGACCGACGAGATTTCCGCGACATGTATCCAAGGGGCGCGCCGGTGCGAACAACGCTGCTTTAAAAGAAAGCCGTCCTCGCAGGGAAAGGGATGCGGAGAGAAAGCTTACCTGGCTGCGTCGGTGTGAGCAGGGCGGCCGAGCGGTAGCCTTTATATAGAGTCGGGCCAGCAAGTGGGTCAGCGGCGTCTACGGGCCCGTCGGCCCAGTTCGGCCGCCGCTCCGGGAGCCGCTGTTCTTGACGACTCTGGCTACTCTCGCCGCAGCGATATGGATTGCACCGGCGGGGAGATCACGCGTCTTCATCTCGGGCCTCTTTTGTTCTGGAGGCGAGATTGGCCATCCTGTCTGGGAGGGGAGGAGGAGGCGTCTTCTACGATTCGGGAAAGAGGGGGCACGTGGCTCAAGCCTCGTGTTTCTTAACTTATGGGATTATATATGTGTGATTCGAGAACTGTGGGAGATACTCTGCCCCCGGATTTTCAGAGTGGAATGGCGTCATCATCGCAGAGCGCTCAATTTCCGCCTTAATGTAGCGCTAGTGGTCCGAACTAGATGGCAAAGTTTCAGAACTAAACATTATCTCTTCAAAAGTTATTTTCTCAAATTTTCAATGGAAAAATGATAGCCGACCAAGCTCTCGTATATATGGATTTGAGTGGCGTCACCAAAAACGGGCGATTACAAGCCTCAGTTTCCCATTAAAATTAAAAAAAAAAAGACATACTTTTTTATTGGGATAACGGTTACAATGTTGTGATTGGTTAGAGTCATTTTGGAGCACTTTTTGGAACAGCAAAAACACTCGTAGTGCACAAGCAGACTCTTCATTCCACTGCGAATATTATTCCAAAATGCACGCGTTGGCATATCCAAATAAAATCCGAAACAATTCTTTGAATTTGTCATCCCGTTTTTGTACAAGAGCTTGTTAGAATCTATTGCAAAGCGTGTATAATTTGATTCCAAGAATAAGTGAGTTCTGAACATTAGTGGCATCTTAAACGTGGAGATTTGTGAGGGTGAAACGTCAGCACGCGGAGATTACACAGTATGCCATAAAAATAAGCTAATCTTATCAATCGTATTCCCAAGGTTTTATTGCACTGCGAAGTCAGTTTAATTTCATTTTACACTTTATTGACCGAGTGCACGAACAGTTGGGAGCTTATTTAGAAGTGTTAACTAAACATTAAAAAATAAACCTATGGTGCAGCCCAGCTACACAACTAATCACTGTGAT